AGGAGCAACCCAAAGGCCCAGCCTGCAGTTTCTAAACAGTTTAAATGTTCCTTATCTGAGATGCTTGGGAACAGTGTTTCTGACTTGAATTTTTTTTTTTGATTTTGCATTATTTGCCTATACATAGTAAAACATCTTAGGTATAAGACCCAAGTCTGAACATAGAATTCACTTACATCTCATATGTACCTCATATACATCTCCTAAAGATAATTTTATACTTTTTCTATTTTTTTTTTCTTTTTTGCAGTGTTAGGGATTAAACCCAGGGCCTGTGTATGCTAGTCAAGCACTCTGCATTGAGTCATACCCCCAACCCTATCTACACAATATTTAAAATAATTTTATGCCTCAAACAAAGTTTGTATGTCACAAGTAAAGGCCATGGGAGGGTCGTTTTTCCCTTGGAGATGTTCAGTCAACTATGTGTCCCATGGATGCACTTTGATTTCAACCTATCACTTAAGGTTAGGTATGAGGTTTTCTACTTACGGTATCATGTCAACACTCCAAAATTTCATGTTGTTTTGGATTTTGGAATACTTAGCATTTCAGTTTTTCAAATTAGGGATGCTCAAACTGTACCAGTTTTTCATTTAAAAAAAAAAAAATACCAGCTCTGGTCCTGCACTTTGGTAATCAACCAGCTGAAGACTGCTGAGTTTATGGCCAGACTGGGCTACACTTAAAAAAAGAAAAGAAAGGAAACAAAGACGCCTTGTAGAAATGGATGATTTCAGGGCTGGGGTAGGAAATGTGCAAGATAAATCTGATACAGCTCATCATATCAGAAAAAAAGCAATCAAAGTACTAAGAATTGTATCTAAATGATTTAGGAGTCAATTGCAATAGATTGTTATTGAACAAAAATGAGACGGTCTGAACATCATAAGGATGACATCTACAACAGACTGCAACATAAAATATGTTTAAGATATTTTATGAGGTATTTTAAGTTTTATATTTTATTATTTCATAATATGTAACTATATGGTCACAGGACATATACTTATATAAAACTCACTGGCTACTTTTTTTTAAAAAGCCTTTTTAATTCCAATTAAAATTGACTAGTCTGACTAATCATTAGCAATGTTTCCATCACTCTCAATTTTTGGTAGATCTGTCCTATGTTCCCAGCATCACTGCACCCATGGCCATGCACAGCCATTTTAAAAAACAGAGATGATCTAACATTACCTATTCTTAATTTCACTAATGAGTTTAAAATTCTTTATGTCCTCACAAAGAATCACAAATAAAGGTTTCACTCTTCTAATATAAAAACCTGACAGCTCATACAAAGGTCCTCTATTGATTTAGAAGAACAGGCTTCCACCATAGTCTGTTCATCATATATAGTACACCTTCTGGACTTTTTTGGTGGTGCCAAGTTTGAACATAGGGCCTGGCACATGCTAGGCAGGCCCTCTATGGCTTCAGTCGCACCCTCAGTTTTGTCATTTTTCAGATAGGGTCTCCCATGCTTTGCTGAGGCTGGCCTGGACCAACATCCTTCTACCTCTGCCTCCCACCACAGCTGGGAATACAGGCAGGCACCACCACACCGGCTTGCTGGTTGAGATGGGGATCTCAATAACTTTTTTTTGCCCAGGCTGGCCTCAAATTTTGATCCTCCCAATCTCTGACTCTGGTCTGGGGCTTGAATTCAGTACCTACACCTTGAGCCGCTCCACCAGCCCTTTATGGTGATGGGTGTTTCAAGATAGGGTCTTGAGAACTATTTGCCCAGGCTTGCTTTAAACCACAGTCCTCCTCATCGCTGCTTCCCAAGTAGCTAGGATTACAGGCGTGAGCCACCAGCACCTGGCTACATTTGAAGGTTTTTTTTCAGATCCCATCTTCCCTCTAAATCTATAGTGACTCAACCACAAAGGCAGGTTATGGTATAGGGCCCATCACTTCTTACCTCAAAAGCCTCATATATGCCACTTTTCTTCCAGCCTTAGCCACAGGAAAAACAAAGTCTTACATGCTACATATGACTCCACAAAAAAGGATGAAAAAATTTGTAATACAGCAGCTCTTCCTCTTAGGGATGCAAATACAATTCCATCACTGGATTCAAAAGTTTTCTTTTTTTTCTTTTTCTTTTTTAAATTTATTTTTTCATTAATATTTTTTGTTTGGCTTTTGTTTTTGTTTTTTTGGCACAGGATCTCATAACCCAAGGTGGCCTTGAACTCACATCCTCCTGTACTGGCTACTTTTTTTTTTTCCAGTATTGGGGCTTGAACTCAGGGCCTACACCTTGAGCCACTCCACCAACCCTTTTTTGTGATGGGTTTTTTCAAGATAGGGGTTGGCTTTGAACTGCAATCCTCCTGATCTTTGCCTCCTGAGTAGCTAGGATTACAGGTGTGAGTACCAGTGCCTGGCTGTAATGGCTACTTTTGAAAGAAGGTTCACAACAATTCATTATTTTGAAATCTAGTAAACAATAGAAAATAATTAAGCATTTATCCTGCCTTTTCTGTAAGAGCTTTAGTTCAAGAAAATCTAATAGTGGATAAGGGGAAATTTCTCTTTATAGAAAGTATCCATCTAATAAATGATGAAGTTACAGAATTAAAATAATCATCATTTTTCAGTGCCTAAGAAAATGAGTCTAGACACTTGAGTATCAAGGGATGCTAACAAGAAGACTATTAATCATTATCTGTGTAGTTACCTATGAAGTCTTGCCAAAAATAAATCAAACCTGAATCTAATCACACCTTTATTTCTAACTACCAGTTTACAGTAAATTCTGTTTTGTTAAGCTACAGTATGCATTGCTCCACAGGGCAAACTTAACAGGTTTCATCACCAAATAAATTAAAAGAGAAAACAAAAGATGGGAGAAGTACCTTTAGATTAAAACTAGTCACAATGTATGGACAGCATTTGGATCCCAACTCAAATGCTTAAAAAAAAAAAAACATTATAAGCCAGGTGGGGTACAGTGGCTCATACTTGTAATCCCAGCTACTAGGGAAAAGGAAATCAGTCTGACACAGACAAAAACCAAAATGCTACATGAAAAATAACAAAAGCAAAAAAGGGCTAGGGACGTGACTCAACTGGTAGCACATGTGCTTAGCAAGTGTGAGGTCCTGAGTTCAAACCCCAGTACTTCAAAAATACACGCAAGACAATCAAGAAAATTTTAACACTAGCTGGATATCTGAAAATATTAAGGAACTATTCTTTTTGCTGATAGTGGTATTCATGTTTACCTTTTTATAAAGTCTTTAAGATACACACACTGAAATATTTAGCAGTTGAAATTATGTAACATCTGGGACTGAAGTTCCAGATGAGCAAGACTGGCTAACAATGTATTAATAATTGTTGAAACTGAATGAAAATAAATAAAGATTTGTTATACTACTCTCTCAAAAGTGTATGTGTGACAAGAGCTGGACATGGAAGGGAGAAAGGGAAAAGGGCAGTCAATTTAAACTAAGTTTCATATATAAAAATACTTTTGTATCTTTTGATGCACTTTGATTATTTGATTTTCCCATTCAATATAACTACGTGAAAGAACTAAAAACAAAAAGCCATGTAAAGAAACAATTTTTATGGTAAATCAATAACAAAACTGAATACCACACAAAACCTATCAGTATCAGACAACATCGAAGGAGTTAAAGGACAAAATTAAGAATTTGTATAACACACACTTTAGAAAGGAAACTACCTCACAGTAGAGTTTAGGTTTATCTCATTGACTGAGTTACTCTCTGTAACTCTTAAAAGCTACATACCACAAGTAGTAAATTAACAAATGGAGCGGGCTGTACTGTTTCAAACTACATCAAAACCCTATAAAGCACTTCTGACTGCCACTGCCACAACCCTCCACTTCCTTAAAAAACAACTTCACTAGTCCAGTTTTCCCCACGGTCAGAATTAAATTAAATTTTAAATTACATTAAATTTTTGGATTTAAAAAGTGACTTATACCCCCTTGGCTTTGCCCACTAATTAAAGGCTGCAATTTTTACAACTCCACCCGCACACAATTCACCCTGGACCTGAAACGTCCTCCCCTCTCTGGTGCCTGTGGAACTCCAACTAGTGCTTCCTTTCACGCCTGTTTTGCAAAGAGAGGAGGGTGGCTCTTTTCTTCCAGCCCCCATAAAATTTCAATCGATTTTTGACACATATCAATAAAAAAAAAAAAAAAAAAAAACCACCTCCCTGCAATCACTTACTAGCAACGCACACAAGCTATCACTGTGCTCCCGGACGACAATGCCTTACGTCATTCAAGTCTTAAAATCAGACGGCCAAACCAATAGCAATATTGATCTCAAAACGAACACAAATCCCTACCCACTACCTGGAACTACGAACTAAAAGAACAAAAATAATAGGGAGAGGTCCTCTGAAATGACCCCTCCAAAAAAAGAAAAAAAAAAAAAAACGGGGGGCGGGGGGAGGGAAAAGATGACCACAGCCTCATCCCTGGTAAGTTCCAGGACCACTTTATCACCCTCGGTGGGCAAAAGCGTCGATTTTACAAAACGAAGGTCCGACAAGCAGGGTGCAGCCGCGTGGGTACCGAACCCTGCAGGGCCGGCGCCCCGGGCCACGGACAGGGCCGTCCAAGCCCGACGCCGCCCCGACGTCCAGCTGGACCTCCGGAGCCCACCAGCCAGCCTAGAAACGGGCTGCCCAGGCCGCGTCCATGGAGAAGCCCAAACCCGCCGGCCCCATCCTGCAGAGCGGTCGTCTGTGTCCTCCGCACCCGGCAGGAACAGCGGGGACCCCCACCCCCAACTGGCACCCCGAAGCCGCAGCGGCCTCCCCGCAGCCCGCGCGCCCCCGCCTCGGTGCTGTCAGGGCGCGCCGCAGGCCCCACGGCCCTGCCCGCCGCGCCCAGCTCTCCGCGCCGCTCGCCCGGGCCCCGCTGCCGCCGCCGCCGCCGCCGCCGCCACCGCCATGCCCGCAGCCGGCCTGGAGACCTCGCCCCCGCCCGCAGGCCTCACCTCAGCAGTGAAGCGTAGGCAGCGCGCGACTTTCCCGGGTCCGAGCGCGGCCGCAGCCTCAGGGCTCAAGATCGGGCTTGGCTCCGCCCCCTGTCCACCGCGCGCACCCTGGCCCGCAGCCGCGGCCGCTCCAGCCTCTCCGCCCCTCAGCCCACACGTTCGCCCCCGCCGCCGGAGTTGGGTGCGGCCTGCGGTGCCGCAGCCCAATAACGTGCAACTGCATTGGCCTGCACGTGCCGCGGCCGTCTAGCATCACGTCCTGCGATTGGCTGAGCAAAGGACGAGGGGGCGGAGCCCATGGAAGGGTGGGTCTTGGGCGGCGGAGGGCGGGGCAGTTCGCTCCCCTGGCGCAACCCCGCCCGCGCTCTGAGCTCAGCGGAGAGCTGGTGTCCCTGGCCAGTCCGGGGCGGCCTCGCGGCAGTGGTGACAACCCCGCAGCCTCCTCGTCCAAGCAGGTGGGGTGGGCTATGGCAGCTCCGCCTCCGCGGCACCCTGTAGCTTCCCGGAGCCCATTCTTGTTGGTCAGGCCAGGCGAGCCCAGCGGGACCTCTGGCTGCTGGCCTCGCCTACTCCAGCAAAGGGACCTTGGCCTCAGTGTACCCGGCGGGCGGGCGGGCGGGTCCCCGGGCAGTTTTGAAACCCGGCTGGCCGTCAGGGTGGGGTCAGGACAGCTGGGCCTGTGAGCCCCGATAAGTAAGGTTGCCTGGTGTCCAGGGCCCGGCCTGTTGATGCTGGATGAACAAGCACCAAGTGACCTCAGCAGAACCAGGGAGTGAGGCTGCTCCGGGCCTCGGGAGAACTATCCACCTGCAGTAACCTGGAAGCTAGCCTAAGCGAGAACAGAACCGCCCCACACCCCGACCCTCCCATAGGCTCAGCTAGGCCGCAGAAAGTCCAGGGAGACAAAGGGGCAGGGATTCTTGTTCCCTTCCTAGCCATAGAAAGTTGATGCGTAGAGCCAGGCCTCTCCTGCCAGCAGGAGCCTCTCTGATCGCAGAAGGGTCAGGGAGATTGTGGATGAGCCGTGGTCTCTGTTCTATCCCGCTCAGCAGTTGCACTGAAAGAGGGTCAGGGAGATTGTGGATGAGCCGTGGTCTCTGTTCTATCCCGCTCAGCAGTTGCACTGAAAGAGGGTGTAAAGAGGTAGAGCGTTCCTGTGTGCGAAAAGAGATGAGGCTTGAACTCAGGGCAGAGGGAAGTGGCTCAGCTGGTTGGTCAGGAGCCTGGAAGTTACAGGATGAAGAGGTCTGAGGAAGAAATGTGGATAGGCCCATGTAAGCTGGCACAAGAATGAGCCTTTGTATTGCAGGTTAATGTGGACCAGAGAGCATCCACCACAGAAGCTCTAAACCACCACGGACAAGGAATAGCTCAGCCAACTGGTAGCAGCCAGCCTCTGTTCTTTTCCACTGCCGTGCTGGCACAATGGTCGTGTGAACAAAGTAGTCACGGTGGCAGGGACTCCTTACAACCAAACTGATCCAGCCATTGCCATTGCCAGGTGTCCAACCTGTCTGCACAGGAGACCATGGCTGAGCCCCCTGGGGAGCCAAGTTGACTACATTACGTCCCTTCTATCCTAGAAAAGGCAATAACTCATGCTTGTCAGGACTGCTATGTATCTGGGTGGGGGTTGGCCTTTTTTACCTGTGATACTTCAGCCAGCACCACTGTCTAAGAGTTCACAAAGCGTCTGATTTGCTGACATGGAATCCCAACATAACATATTACCAAGGGACCTGTTTTCAATGGCAAAGGTGTGACAGTAGGTACATGACCCACCACTATGATGCCATCTACAAGGTCGTCTGCTAGTGTGATGGAATAGCCGCATCAAGACTCAACGAGGCACCGACCTGGAGATGGTATCCAGGGAGGTGATGCAGTATCCGCCTCTAAATTAATAACCATTTTAAAAGGGTTTGTCCCCAGTGACTCACTTGGGGAAGCTGTGCTTCCCATTCTGCAGCATTAAGTGATTCTAGAGATCTCATACCAAGAAGGCACTCAAGCCACTCAGCCAACCCTGGGCTTGTTTTGAGACAGGATCTAACTAACTTTTGTCCAGGCTGGCCTTGAACCATGACCCTCCTATCTCCACCTCTTGAGTAGCTGGGATTATTGTTATAACTGGTTGTTGTTACTGGAACTGATGAGCTGATTTAAAAATTTATATGGCAAGCTGGCACAGTGGCACATACACGTAGTCCCAGCTTCTCAGGAGGCTGACGCAGGAGGATCACTTGAGCACAGGAGTTTGAGGCCAGCTTGGGTAACAAAATAAGACCCCATTGCAAAAAGCTTTTTTTTTTAATTTTTAAAAAAATAAATTACAGACAAAGCTTCTATGAGAGAAAAAGCTTACTCAAAAGTACAAAGAGCCAGAATGACAACACTCAAAAAAAAAAATTACACCCAGCTATCAATCCGTAATTAAATGAAAGTAATTAAGATACCTTCTTATTGACACAGTAATATACTGGAGCAGAACATACCTCCACTGATGTGGATTTATGACAGAGGTGGCATTACAGATGGGTGGGAAAAGGACAGACCACACATAAATGATGCTGGCATAGGTAGGTAACTCTACAGACAAAAAGATACAAGTGAATCCTTGCCTCATGCCCTTACAAAAAAAATTCCAGGGGAACTAAAGGCCTAAGTAGTAGAAAATGAAAAGTTAGAAGGCTTTTTAGAATATAATGTAAGAGAATATCTGTATGAGTCAAGAGTTAAAAAAAATATATATTAAGTAACAAAGAGGAAGCTGGTGGTAACAGCACCTGTAATCCCAACTATTCAAGAGGCCAAGACAGGAAGGTGAGTTTGAATTGGAGGCCAGCTGGGGGCAACATACAAGACCCTATCTAAAAAAAAAGTAACAACACTAAGCAAGATGGAAATACCAATCAATTCAACTGTGTTAAAATTAAGAACTGGGCCCGACGTGGCTCACTCTGTAATCCTAGCTACTCAGGAGGCAGAGATTAGGAGGATTGCAGTTTGAAGCCAGCCCAGGCAAATAGTTCATGAGACCCTATTTGGAAAAAAACCCTTCACAAAGCTGGTGAAGTGGCTCAAGGTGTAGGCCCTGAGTTCAAGCCCCAGTACCGCAAAAAAAAAATAATAATAATAACTGGGCTGGGGAATGTAGCTCAATGGAAGAGCACTTGCGTAGATGCATAAGGCCCTGGATTTTACCCTCAGCACTGCAAGACAAAGATAAATAATCATCAGAAGATGCCATCAGTCAAGATAAGTGGAAAAACACTTGGAACACACATTACTAATAATATCAAGATTACATAAATAATGCCTACAGATTAATGCAAAAAAAGAGCAAAAGCTTGAGAATAGAGTGTGTGTCTACCAAGTGCAAGGTCCTAGGTTCAGTGTCCAATACTGCCAAAAAATAATAATAAACCCATAACTGTAATCCCAGCAAATTCAGGAGGTAAAGATAGGAAGATTGCAGTTTGAGGCCTGCCAGGGCAAAAGTTAGTGAGACACTTATCTCAAAAGCAAGCCAGATGTGCTGGTACATGTCTGTAATCCCAGAGCTACTCAGAAGGTAGAGGTAGGAAGATTGTGCTTTGTGAGCAAAAGCATGAGACCTCATCTAAAAACAAGGCAGAAAAGAGCCAGAGACACGGCTCAAGTGGTAGAGAGCCTGCTTAACAACCATGAGTCTGAGTTCAAACCATAGCACCACACCAAAAAAAAAAAAAACTTAAAAATGGGCAAAAGAGCCAGGTGCAGTTGGCTCACGCCTGTAATCCTAACTACTCAGGAGGCAGAGATCAGGAGGATCATGGTTGGAAGCCAGTCCAGGAAAATAGTTTGGGAGACCCAACACAAAAATGGACTGGGGTATGGCTCAAGTGGTAGAGTACCTGCCCTGTGTGAGTTCAAATCCCAGTACCACCAAAAAAAAAAAAGAGCAAAAGACTTGAGTAGACAAAAGCAAAATGACTAATAAACACATGAAAGTGTTCTCAGGATCTGCAGTAAATAACTAAATGCAAATTAAAGCTATACTTATACATCCACCAGACTGGCAAAAAATGAAAAGCGTGGCAAATATGGAGTGTTGGCAAGGATGCAAAGCCAAGGGAATTCTCTTTTACTGCTGGTGGGCATGTAAACTGCAACAGTGTTCTTGGCAAACAGTGAAAGCCCCTCATACCCTAGAGAAACTGGAGCATCAGACATGGGTAAGATTGTTGCTAGCAGTATTAGCTGTGATTGCCCCAAACTGGAAACAGCCATCTATACTGGAATGGATCCATGAGCAATGATACAGTCACACAATGGAACAGTTTCAACAAGGAACTTGAACAAATTAAGTTATGTCAATGCCAGCATTGATAAATCTGACAGTAATGGGCCAAAGAAGTCAGATACCAAAGCCTGCATCTGTATAATTTTGTTGCTATAAAAATACAAAAAACAGGAAAGTGATGGAATGTATGCATACTTGAGTGGTGAAGTCTTTTCAGAAAAAGAAAAGAAGACTCACCAAAGTCAGGACAGGGGAGGGAAATGAGAGGCTGCTCTTTGGAAGCCACACAGATGTTCTTAACAATGTGTTAGGCCACACACATTTATGTTTTATTCCACAGGATCAGAGCCAGTCGGTCTGTGGCCCAGCTGAGATACATGGATTTGATTCAAGTCCTAGCTCTGCTCTCTACTCCCTATGTGACCTTGGCATCATCTAGGTCATTGCCCTTCAGGCCCTAGGTTACTCTCAAGAGCCTCTTCTCTTCTGGCTCTCAGTTTCCCTGTCTATAATGGGATGGCCAGAGGCCATCTCTGCTCAGAGCAGAGATGTGGGAGATGCCTCCTTAGAGCTTCAGTCTGATGCCCAACCATCAGGGGGTGCTCATCACAACATGACCCAGAGTTGAGCGTTAAGAGTAGGAACTAGGAACAACTCGTACTTGTGAGGAGTCGCCAATGGCTCTAAAAACATCTCTTGGGCTGGGTAATGTGGCTTAGCAGTTGAGCAGTAGCACTAGCAAGGCACTGAGCTCCATCCCCAGCACAGAAACAAATAATAATATTGTAAAGTCACTTCTTTTCATAATAAAATCTCAATTAGAAAAGAAAAAAAAAAAAGAAGGCATAGAGGCTCATACTTTTAGATCAACTGCAGGAAATATAAAATCATGTTTGACCCTCAGCTTGGGGAAGCTTCCCAAGGTGCCTGGGTCCCTGAACGCCTAGGACAGAAGCCCTCTCTCAAAGTCACAATGGTGGGCAAATCACTAATGCCTCTCTGAGCTCCAGTGTCTCCATCTGCAAAAGGAGGGAACAGACTTGCTAAGAGCAGGGGCCAGCTTCCTGTTGCCTACCCTCACAGACTGGGACCCAAGGGACAAACTGCTAGGTGGGACAATCTATTCATCCAGAGCAGCAGCCACCATGGCTGGGTGAGGGCATCCCTGGAGTTGCCAGAAGAGCTAAACAGACACTTCCACAATGACTACTGGAGGCTGAGAGGGGTGTCAGGGAACCAGGCAGGAGTCATGGTCTGGACTTGGAGCACTGAAGCAGTGATGAGATCACATTACAGTAAGTAGTAAAGCTGGGACTTGAACTGAGGCTTCTCTGAGCCTCTTGGTTCTCTCATCTGTAAAATGGGATTGATAAAAGCTGCTTCTCCAAGTAAATTATGTCGAATACCCCACTGCTGCCAATCCTGTGTGTAGAATAGAACATGCCCAGAAAGTCTTAGGAGAGCAAGAACCCCTTAGGGCCTTGCTAGAGGACTGTGGCCCAGACCTCTCCACCACCTCCAACTTACACTCTTGCAAATGAGGTCCTGGGTCCTGGGGGTTCACAAAGAGGTGGACAGTTGTGCCAGCATGCCCAGAGTCTGGGAGATGAGGAGAGGTCAGGCCAGCCCCTGGGGTAGACCATGTCAGTCACAGGTCTCAGCCTTCCAGTTGGCCATGAGGACCCATCACCTGGCTCTGGGCCACAGAACTCCCAAACCTTGCAGCTCAGTGGTCTTCAAGTATACTTTAGCCACTGAGATGGCTCCAAAAGCAGGCAATCTGCAGCACAACACCAGTTTAGCCCACCCCCAAGCACTGGCTCATCTCCTCTCTCATCCAGCCAGTATTTTAAATTTTATAGGAATGGAAACTGTGGCCACAGTGGGGAGTGGCATGCCCCCAGCTGAGTTCAGGGCAGACAGGGCAAAGAATATCAACCATAGGGAGGAGAAATGGCTGGTTTCCAGGGATAGTTCAGAATACCAGCAGCTCCATGTACTCCAAACTTGACAGTGGTGCACTTTGACCCCTCTCCCTAGGCAGACTGAAGAGGAAATGCCTGCAGAGATGGTGGTGGACACCTGGTTCCTGGAAGCAGATGGCTGCTGACAGATATCTGCTGTTGTCCCAAGACACCCCACAGTACCCTGAGGCTACAGCCTCCCACATCCGCTAACTGGACTCATCCAATAAACCATAGTTCCTCCCCCAAGAATATGGCAGAAGTTGGGGCACCAAACAAAAGTTCTTCTCCCTGGATAATGAGCACAAACACAGCTCCTCCCCAACATAAACCGCAGTAAGGACCAGATGACCCTAAGATTCCTGCAGCCCTGACCTCCAGCTGCACTTGTTTTCACAAAACCCCAGCCTGAACTACTGTGCCACAGAGCGTGGCCTGCTGGAATTCCATGGAAGAAACTGAGGGGAGTGACCAGCATGCACCAGAGCTGCAGATCGTCCAGAGGATGTGTGCATGTGTAGATGCCATTGTTCCAGCCACCTCTGGCCTACTCAGGGCCCACTCTTCTTATCCACTGTAACCATCACTTAAACTAAGAAGCCCCCCTGGGTTTCAAGCTCCTGGCCCCTTCATGCCCAGCTACCCTGAACACCACACGGCCACCACTATACACTCAGGTGGCCCTACCCCCAGCTCTGGCACCAGGCCGACACGCAAGAGGCCTCAATAATTATTTACTAACTGGGGCTTTGCAGTGCAGGCGCCAAGCCAACATTGCCCCAGTTGGGTCCAGATCTGTCACCAGCTGTGCACCCTGAACAAGTCACTCGGTGACCTGGGCTATAGAAGACCAGAAGAACACCTCTTATGATTCTGTGAGCTGCTCTTCTCTTGACACTAGTGGGCACAGAGCAAAGTCGGCTGTCCCCTCCTGGCCAATCAAGCCCTAGCCATTGAGGCAAACACCATTTGATTTATTTAGAGACAGCGGCCCCTCCTGGAGCCTGCGTCTTAGCATTCCTGTGAGGTCCCAGGGCCAGCCCCAGGTCCCACACGATTGCCCCAGCCTTGCTTGGCTCCCAGCCAACAACAGGGTGGGGTGCTGTTGGGACCAGACTTTGTCCCTTGAAGCCCAGGCAGGACTCAGTTCTGAAGCCCAGGTTCCTAAGGTGAGGTGGGCCAGGTAAGTAGGCCAGTCTTTTGGAATCCACAGTCTGGTCCAGCCCCTGGGACTAGTGTGCTGGGTGGGGCCTGGTGTCTGTTGGGGAGGCCTAGCATCATGCACGCCTCTCACTCCTGCTCATCCTCTCACAGGCCCATCTCCATCTGTGTGACCTGGGGCTATGGGCCCCCAGCTACTTCTGTCCTGCAGTTATGTGTGGCAGGTGTCACCTGGGCCCGGCATAACCATATGGGTGCCGCAGTAGCAGGGTCTGGTGGCTGGGCAGCACGTGGGTGTGGTAGTGCTCCACCATGCTGCCCACACTTGCAAACAGGACCTCACCCTCTAGGTAAAACTTGGAGTCCTGAAAGAGGCAGAAGACAACAGGGTCAGCCTGGCCCAACCAGCCAGCCTGTCACCCTGCAGCTGTCTCTCCCTGCCCATGCCCCGTCTGCAAAATGGGGGAAAGGGATCAGCAATAACAGAGATGTATGTAGTCAGGCCTGTTCCTGGCTGCCCTGCTTCTCCTGTGTCTGCCTGCACACAGGCCTATGTTCCCAGAGCTCCCACCTCCCTCCTTCTATTCTCAGGACCCAACATGAAGTCTGCTCTCAGGGGACTGCAGGAAAGGCTATAAATAACTCCAGGGTGAAGGGATGACAATGCTGCTCTCTAAAGTCAGCTGAGGCAGTGGGAGAGAGACAGGCAGAAGGGCTTCCACCCACTGCTCAAATTCTATTAAGGAGTTTCACCTGGGCACAGGGGCCACGGTCCCCACCCCACCCTCGGAGCAAGACCCAGTCCTCACCTTTTCAAAGATGCGGTAATTCCTCACTTTGTCAGAGGACTCATCCCACACGACCAGAACCTACAGGAAGGGAAGAGGGAAGCGTGGAGCAGATGGCTCAGAGGAAAGGCTTCAGGAGTGACTTCTGAGGCTGAGTGGGGCAGACACGAACACCAGGGCTAGGTGCTGCAGTCCTTGGGGGTGAGGTGAGGCAGGGCTCCAGAACCCCTGTTCAGCCAGGGCCATCTGTGCAGGGAGCCCCTTGCCCTGGGGCTCCTTCTGCCCCCAGAGAGCCTCTAAGAAGACCAAAGCAGCAGGAGCAGGTGCCTGGGCCACCCGAAACCATCTCTGACACACATGGGGAGAGAGTGCGGTTGATGAGGTCGCACACTACATGCTTGGAGGGATACAAGCAGCGCCAGCCAACTTCCTGCCATTCCTACTGCCCCTCCCCCTGCATGCACAAACCCCAGCTCACCTCCATAGTCCTGGCACCCCTAGTCCTCCCTCCCCAATCCCCTGCTGTGAGATGGTCATCATGGCCTCCACTTTGCAGATGACATTTGGTTCAGAGAATAGATGGGGGGAGGTGGCTGGGAAGGGCCCCAAAGACAGAATCCGGTTGAGGTGGCAAGAGGCTGAATGAGGAAGTGAACTATAAGCTGGTATGTGTGGAAAGCCAGACAGCTCCAGAGTGTCCTACCTTCCCTGACTTGGTGGAGGAGTTCCGAATGCAGTATAGTCCATCCTGGGGCTCTCCCCGGGGACTTGTGGCTTTGAACAACCTAAAACAAAACAGCCATTGTTGATGGGTAACCCCTCAAGCATGCTGCTTTCAAGAGGACCCTCCAGCCCCTCTCCATAACCCGGCTTTTGGCCTGCTTGCTGCTCTAGGTCTCAGGTTGTGAGGCCAGGAGTACCAGTAGGATTGGGACAGAGCTGACAGACCCACTGCTCTCAGGTCTCCTGCTGCACTCGGAGCCAGGTGCTTGGGCCAGCAATTGCTCATCACCAAGGCGAGTGAGGGGGACAGAGAAGAAGAGAACCCAGCATCTTATCCCTGCAAATACAAAAGAGGCTTTGCACCAACCTTTCCACTTCGCAGGATTCCGTGGTGTTGACAAACACTGAGTTGGGCAGTGGCACCTAGAAGAGCCCAACAGTGGTCAATGTCAAGGTGTGAATGACCTCCACACACCGCCATGCCCCATTTGGCTGCCCCCACCCCCATACTAGGATCCATGGCTTTGTACAGTGTCCTTCCTTGCTCAAGACAGCCTGTAAGGGGCCAATCTAGCCTGTGGCTCTCCCACCACCTGCCCGCCCACTGGCCAGGTGTGATCTGGGCCCTACGCTCAGCCTTGCCTTCTCATAGTCCTCATCCGAGTCCTCCCCACCAGTGTCAGCCTGTGAGGGTCGTTGAGGTTTTTCGAAGGAGAAGCTCCTGAAACTCTGCCCATCAGGAGGTGATCGCCTGGGGTGGGAGCAAGGAAAGGAAGGCAAGACCACATCACTTTCAGACAGGGACAGGTCACCCTCTGTTCTCCTGCACAAATGAGTACCATGCCAGGCTGCCTCACCACAATCCACAGGTTCTGCCTGTTCTGGTCTCTGTGGCTATAAAGGCTCAGAACAGCAGAATACTGAGGCCCTGCTCACTGCCCTGGGTTGGTGGGAATTCAGGCCTGAGGCCTGGAAGCCCAAGTAGGAAGTCAGTGCCACAATCCATCCCAGCAAAGGAAGACCCAGGGTATCTGAGCTCCAGTGTTGTCACATAATGGACAAGTGCTGGGGCCCAAGCTCTGATGCTGACTGGCTTTGTGAGCATGGCCAAGTCATACTCCTGTCCTTAAGCCAGAGGACCAGACAGATGCAAATGGGCTGAACAATGTGATCTGACCACAAGGAACCGACACTGAGAGCCCTTGCTCCCCACAGGTTGCTAGATTTTGCTTCAGCAAAATCTCCAAAGCTGCAGGGAGAATTAAAGGAGTCCACACATGACCTGAGACTGTGAAGCCACGCCACGATGGATGTGGGTAAGGCTAAGCCCTGGATAATCATCCTTAGCATACGTAGCCCCGAAGCAGGCCCAGACCAAGGTTTGGAAGAATAACCAACAATTGAGTGTGGCAAGGGCTTCTCCCAGACACTTCCTCACCAGCAGCAGGGGGCTCACAGATGCCAACAGAACCCTGGGAAGGAAGGTGCCACAGTCGAGGGCATTTGAGTACACCCGTCAGTGCACCTACAGGAGACTCCTCCAGGGCCTTCACCCATCGTCCAAGGCATGAAGCCCACCTTAGGTCCTAGATGCCTGTAACCATGGGCTACTGGTATGGGTGACCATATAGCGGAGGGGACACCAGGGCTCCTGGCAGTACCCTGACAGTACTCTTGGCAATAAAGGAAGATTTTGGGCTGGCAGAGTGGCTCAAGTGGTAGAGCATCTGCCTAGCAACAGTGAGATCATGAGTTCAAGCCCCAGAACCACCAAAAAAAAAAAAAACAAAGTTTTTGGAGTAGTCTCAGGGTTGAGTCATGGGCACGTCCCACATTCCAACCATTTCCCAAAGGGGAAGGACACAAAGGCAGCCTTGATGGTCCCAGAGCCAGGAGACACGCCCAGGGTCCCAGGCAGGGCTGGTCCATATGGACTGAACAGAAGGGCCTACAGATGCATTCTGTAGGCTGGCACACAGCCCTGTTCCCCACATCACCCATCTCAGGGCTTAACACTCCGGCCTACAGGCCTCTTGTGTGACCCCAGAAGGCTCTCAGACAGCACACAGTGACCCTCTGCCCACTGGGCTGGGCATTCCTGAAGAGCAAAGTTGGACATCACTTGTAGCTCTGGGTCAGCCAGGGAAGGGGAGACTGCCCCACCAAGGCAGGCTGGGACAATCAGGTAACCTTCCTAGCATTGATAGGTTGTCATGATGGTCTATCATGGGCTCAGAATGCCAGGGAAGGGCACAGGGCACAGGCCAGAGACCAGGTCCAGTCAGTAAGGGGTCCTAATGATTGGGAGGGAGGGGCAGTGCCACAGCCAGACTCACTGGAGATGGGGGAGTGGCGGCTTCTCTGGCCTGGGCAGCACTGCAGGCCGAACTGTGGCCTCGGGCATGGGCAGCTTCAGTGCAGGAGGCCTGGGGGCCAGAGGGGGCACAAAGAGTCCAGGCTTGGCTATGTCCCTTTGGGAGGTCTCTTCAGCTATCTTCAGGAACTTGGGCTTATTAGCAGGTACAGGTGGAGGTTCAGATGTGGGTGGCCCCCGGGGAGACAGATGGAAGGACTTCAGCTTGTCACAGTTCCTGGAGGTGGCAGTGGCTGTAGTGACAGAACTAGAGGCAGAGCTGGCCCCATGGCCAGGGGTCCAGGGCTCTGGGCTGGAGCTGGCATTCTCTCGGAAGCAAGGGGGTTTCCAGAGACTGGGCCCAGTGGGCATGCTGCTCAGCGGTGGGTCACTCATCCTTCGGGGGGTAGGAGGCACCTTAAGGCCAGGCTCAGGCCGCCTCAGGCCCAAAGGGTCCCTCTTTGTGTCCTCAGGGGCCAGGCTAGCATCTGGGAGGCCACGCTTAGGAGGTGGGGGTGGCAGCAGGGGGCTTGGGCTCTTGGAGTTAAAGGAATGAGCACGGGGCAAGTCGGAAAAGGCTGGCTTCCTGGGTACAGGCACTGGGGGCGGTGGATAGGCTGGCGGGTGGGTCAGAGCATCTGTGGAGCAGAGAAGCAAGTTAGTATCATGTGCTGGAGGCTGGGCCAACACCACCCTCTACTGGCAACAGTCAGCAGGAGCCAACCCAGTGTGCATGCCATCAGCCCCACCCTCAGCCTGCTGGAGAAAAGCACAAGGTCAGGGCTCCCTTATGTAGCCTTCCTTGTCCCAGACCATCCACTGCCACCTGGCTCTCCCCATCCACACCCCACACCAGCTTCCTGAAGTCTAGATGTCATCTAAGGAGCCATCAAACTCCCAGAGATGAAAATGAGAGTGAGGAGGATTCCAGGCTATGGCCTGAGTGAAGGGAAGGGTGGAATCTCAGAAATAGGGGTGAGCAGGATGGGCCAGAAACGGCTGGGAGGAAGATGAAGGTCTTTGTTTGTAACAAGCTAAAGACGCTATGAAACATCCAGTCCAGGGGGACATCCTGTGGACTGGCACAGGTCCAAAATAAGAAGGAGTGACAGAACAGGAGTGACGCCTGACCTTGGGTGTCTCTTGGTCACCCTTTTGGGGTAAGCATCCCTGGAGGGGCAGGCACAGGAGCTGAAGAGTAGGAAGGCCCCACAGAGCCAGGTATCTGAAGAAGCACCAGTCAGGAGTGGGCTGGGGAGTGGGGAGGCCACTGGGGCCTTTGACAGAGAGGTTCTGAGAAGAGGGTAGGGGACAAGGTCTGACTGGAGTGAGAGTTCAGAGGGTGGGAGGAAGAATGGCTGGGAGCACATGGTAGGTCTGCAGATGCTCCCCCATGTGCTCGTCTGCAGCCAGGCCAGTTGCAGTACAGGACAGAGTAAGGGGAGACTCACTCTCTGGAGCTGGGCAGTGAAGCAAGACAGGAAGCAAGAAGGTGCGTGAATGGGAAGTAGCTGAGGCAAACGGCCACAGGCCCTTATGGGAGAGGAACTGCTGGTGTCACCCAGAGAGAGGGAGGGAGCAAGGACACCAGGGTCTGCAACTGAGGGACAGGAGAACAAGAGGAGACATGGGGTGAGCAGAGGCAAGTCACTGGATGGGGAGGCTAAGGGAACACCCTCCTGTGGCATATGCTGGACGAGACAAGAAGGCTAGAGGTGTGCGGGGAGACAGGAAGGGTCCAAGCGGTAGAGAGTGAGGGGACTCTGCACTTCCATGTCACCCAGGCGTCACTGTCAGTACCGTGTACTTGGGGAAGTGGGCTGTACATGGGGAACATGAGTGACAGCCTGGCTCACAGCTGTGTGGGTAGAGAACATGCAGCCCTAGGGAAATGGACCTACCCCAGACCCACCCCCAGTGCCTCTCCTTCCCCACTCACCCCTGCCTCCCTCCACCTGTTCCCTTCCTGTCCATCCACACAGGGCTAACCTGAGGTTAGCAGGTGAGCAGGGCCAGCCTGTTCTGAACCTCTTAACACTTGGACCACAGCAGGGAAACTGAGGCCACCTGGAGCAGGACCCAGGCTACCACCCAGCTTGGGAGGGGCTCTGCTCCTACCCCCAAAGAGATCCCCAGGCCCACTGGCCCCACCTACCCTCAGGCTTCATGGGCTCAGGGGAGTCTGGCTCCAAGTATGAGTCGTCCTCATCTTCATGCTCATAGTCTGTGTGTAGTGGGTGGAAAGTGAGACCCAAGGCGGCCCAAGCTCAGCTGCATGTAGGACTGAGTAGTGGGGGCCGCTGCACTTCAACACAATGCTCTAGTCATATGCCCAGGAGGCAACAAGATTTGAAACCAGAACCCAGGCTGCTGGAGGCCAGAACCAGGAAGCCACTATTGCTCTGTAAGAGGACAAGGCACGGGACACAGGCCTCCTCCTTCACAGCTTTCCAAGAAGAGGACGTTGTCCTGTTACTCTGAGCAGCCAGATGTGGAGAGGTGGAGGGCTGGTGGGTGGGAGATAGGCCTCACCTTCATTGTCTGTGGGATATGGAGAGAGGCTTATGTCCACAGGCCGCTCAACCGCACCATAGAAGCTGTCTGTGTCTGAGCTGGAGTCACTGAAACAGGGAAGTGGAAGGGGGCAGCCGATGAGCACCAGATCGGGGAGTTCTGGCACCCCCTAGGCACTAACACACAGGGACTCTCCAGCAGACACACAAGTGTGGGGACACAAATAAACACAGACACAAGGACAAGCCTGTCACACATACACTCAGCTCAACACAAGGACATACAGTTTAACAGGTACACCCAGACACGGAGACACACAGGTAAAAACAGACAAAGGCATAGACACACAGATACACAGAGTGATACATGGACACACACACAGAGTTACAGGGACAGACATGAGGACTGGAGGCTGTGGCACCATCCTTCGAGCCCCGCTGTGATTCTCACGACTCTAACCAGAGGTCTCAGGTCTAGGCCCCTATGTCCACCTGCTTCTGCCGCAAGGGACTCAGTCAACTATGGGCTGAGCTGATACAGGACAACGGTGAGTGCCAAGCCCTTTTGACCTCAGTTTCCTTGACTATGAAAGAACAGGATGGTTTCTGGTTCCCCCTAGAGGCCCCTGCTGCTTGCTGGGCCAGCTCACAGGTGAGGATGCTGTGTGTTTCCCTGGAAGACTCATTCTGCTCTCACCCCCAAGAAACCAGGTGGACGCCAGAGGGCTGCACCCAAAGCTCTGAGCTCCTGTATATGCTGAGTCTTCCTGATAGGAGAGGAAGAGTGCCCAAGAGCTATGACCAAGGGCAATATAGACAGAGATGTAGCTAGACAGGGCTGGAGCAGACAGACAGGAACAGAGAAAGGCAAGACAGGAGAGCACACATATGCACAAGTGGTGCACACATGCTCCCATGCACATAAAAACCTTTATGGAGGGGATTCTGGGCTAAGCCCCCAGGGGCTGGGACTGCTACCCACCCATTATACCCCTTGGCCCACCTGGTGTCCAGGGGCAGCTCCTTCTTCTCATGGAAGTGACCAATCTCCCTGCGCAGCAAGGCCATCCAGCTCTGTGGGTCACCCAGAGCCATAGTGAGCATGGTACTGCCCAGGACAGGGTCCCACTCCACCCTCCTCCCCTCACTGCCCCAACTCAACTGCAGTGACTAAAGTTGGAGAAAACCCCAACTGGGTCCAACCCAGGGTGAGGAATGGCCTCTTCCTCCTAGGGCTGCAGGCTGTCCCAGGCTACTCCTCAGCCCACTTGGGGATCCTCCCTGACAGCATTTGATGATGGGTACAGGCACCAGGCTCTCTGCCCAGCTGTCCACGCCCCAGCCATGTCTCCTCCTCATGGTCTGAACAGAGCAATGTCAGCCTCCTGCTCAGAGCAGGGGAAACCAGAGCCTGACCAGTAAGCCACTCAAGGCAGTTCTCGCCTCGAGGGACCTAAAAGCCCTGTGACCCCCGATCACCTTGCGCTCGTCCTCAGAGGAGGCTGAGAAGAACCACGTACGGTGCTTCTTGCTGATGTGGATGATCTTGAAAGGGAAGACATTGTTGGATGTGGTCTCTTCAGCTGCCCGCATCACTCTGAGAGCACAAGGTCAGCGTCACCACCTGGTCCACACTCCCAGGGACAGCCTCACCAATTCCATCCCTGGGTGAATCTCGGCACCTAGCTTCGTGCCCCAGGGAACATGAGCAGATCTGGACAGTCCCTGCCTAGTCCTGGATGCCTCAGGGGGACCGTAAGTATGGGCTCATCACCCTCACTGTCCACCAACGTAAACTCACATGGACACCACTCCTCCACCTCTGTTCCACATGGTCCCCGGCCTGTGTCTGTGCCAGCTCCACATGTACTGAGGGGAGTGCTTAAGTTCTGCGACTAGCCCTGCCAGTCAAGAAGCAAAAGTTGTGCAGAGAACACAGTCTCCCTGGAGGAAGTCCTGCTGGCCTGGGCAGCAGGTGGGCAGGGTCCCACCTGGCCCATCAGAGGTCCTGGGTAGAGCCTCTCTGACTTAGCTGGCCTAGTGAGTTGGACAATCCCTGGGGCACAGCCACATCTGCCACTGGTCTAAGTTCATGGCTTGGCTGGCACATGCTGAAGAGCCATGTGTCTGGGGAAAGAGAATGGCGCTCTCTCTCAAGAAACCTCAGTGCTCTAATGAGCCGGTGTAAACCTGCCACCAAATGGCCCTCAAGACATCTTCCGGCCTCAGTCAGTACTGGACTGGGGAAGTGGCACTGGGCTTGCTGCTTTGGCCAGGTCACCCTTCCTGGGTGGAAGTAGGAGTCTAGAGCAACTACTAGGATAAGTCCTCAAAGACCCAGCCCTGACACTAACACCTTGTAAGTGGCCCTTGGTTCCTCATAGGATAGGCAGGAAGGACTGGGCCCTGCAGGGTATAAGGCCTGGATGGAATAGACCTTGTGCCAGAGTGCAGGAGTCAGTACTTAAACCCTGCTCTGTGACCATAAAGCCACGGGTGGACCTAGAGGGACCATCTCCTGTCCAGCATGACTCATCTCACACAGAGGACTCTTGCCTAGGGCCCCCCTACCCATTAGTCTGGAAGCCCTCAAGAGCAGGCTTATGGTGTGGCTAGAAGGAGCACATGTGAAGCAGGGAACTGGCCCAAGTCTGGTCAGACCCTGGAGCCAGAGAATCTGGGCAGAGCCCGAGTAAGACAGAGACTGAGCTGGCTGGGCTCTGAGCTACTCAGAAAGAGGCTCTGGTGGGTGAAGGGGCAGGGTGGGGAAGAAGAAATTATTGCCTGAACTCACCAGGCAATAACTGAATGGGGAGTCTGGAAAGCAGAGCCCTGTCCGGGCCCTTGGGGTCTGTTGCTACAGCCCCAGGAAGCCCCTAGCAAGGGCCTCACCCCTCAGGTCCTCAGCAAAGGCCTGGGGGCAGAACGTGAGGAGAGGACCAAGCATGTGGAAGCAGACCCAGGGCGTGGCAGAGGCTACACACACCCATCTTGGGAGAGCCAGGGTCTTCCCTGGGTAGGAGCAGGGGTGCGTCCAGCCCTGTGGCAGGGGGCTGTGGCAGCAGGCAGGAGGACACTCACCGGTTGTATCCGTTGAGTGAGAAGGCGCCCTGCGGGGAGGCAGACGTGCTGGTTTTGAAGTAGTAGATACAGCGTTTGTGAATGATAACAAAGCGCAGAGGCCCTGTGGACAGTGTGGCATGGACAGGGATGAGCCACACAGGGTGCCCAGACCAGACCCCACTCTGGAAACCCTTCCCAGATGCCCTGGGCAACTTAGGGCCAGAGAACTGCTGAGGGGAAGAGCAGGAAGCTGGGCTGGCCTGCTGCCCTTCCCAGAGGTCCACTATCAGGTCAAATACAGACAAATTCATGGGCATCCTGGCCAGCCCCTGGGTACCAACCCCAGGGCAGGCCTGGTCACCCTCAGAGAAAGGGGTACAATGGAGGCCATGTGCAGCTACCACAAGGAAGGGGCAAGCCCCGCCCAGAGGCCCAAGAAGGCCATGACAGCCTTTCTGGGGGCTGCAGGGCTGCTGGGAGGCTCCCTCCACCCCAGACTGGCACAGTAAGGAGAGCAGGGCTATGGCGCCCAGAGAGTCATCTCCAGCTGGACAGTCACACGGAGACTGTCCCAAACTCCACTGCCTCGGTCTGGACCAGCCACTCCCAGGCCTTGGAGGTTCCTGGTACAAACAGTAGAATTGGTAAGCACAAAAACCAGGGAGCTCAGGCAGGCAGCAAGGGATCAGGTCTCTGGTAGAGGGACCTGGGGCAGTGTCTATGGTTGATCAGAGGGATGGGAAAGTCTCTGGGGCTCCTTGCTGTCAGTGTCTTGACACTTAGGCATCTACCAGGCCTGGGGGCTCCCTCCTTCTCCTAGACTGCTATTCTGGGAGCTACAGTCTGAGTCTCATGCACCTCCAGAGACCTAGTGCCCAGTCAGCTCCTGACTGAGGTCTCCCGGCCTTGGCTACAGTCTGAAGCTCCTGTGGCCAGCTCTTCAGCACTGTGCACCAAATGCCCATCCTATCTCTTCCCAAAAATACCGCTCTAGACTCTGCAATAGTCCTAGGACCTGGGGAGGCTGACCTCAAGTCCCCCAGGGATACCAGCCACCAGAGAGTGAAGCGAACCCCAAAGGGCCCACCAAATAAGGAAGCAGAGGCTCAGTGGGAGTGCGGGGGCCAAGGAGGCCCAGCAGAGCAATGGGGAAGCAGGACCAGGGCCAGCCTCTGCTCCAAGTCCTCCCTTTGTGATCTCCACAGCCCAGGGACTCACATTTGAGCAGCTGCAGCTGGGTGCCGCCCTTCTTGTGCAGGTAGCCAGCCTTGGCCACACCCCCAGGCATGGTTAGCAGATTCTGGGCACCAATGGCCTTCATGGGAACAGGCCAGTGCATCTCCTCGGCCGCCATGAAGCTATGATCAAAGAGGAAGGGACAAAGCTCAGCCAGGGGCAGGGAATGGCTTAGCTAGGGATGCTGGAAACAGTGCCAAGATTTAGGCAGCATGAAGGGGCAGGGAAGTGAGGGGTGAAGAAACCCCTTGTTGAAGGCCTCAGGCTTGTGGGGGGGGACCCGGGGAGGCAGGGACATGTGTCCACTCTGTCATCTCCTGATTCCCTCAGCCGCATGCCTGATCTCCAGGATGCAGAGTATTGTGTCATCACCAGTTCACTGGGTGCACAGCTCCTTAAGGGCTGGGGGATGATGAATAAACTCAGGAAACCCTAGCCCCGGTGAGTCAAGCCTTATGCCATAACTACCCCAAGTCCTGGTGCCAGGTGAGCCCATGATGAGGCCCATCCTAGATAGAAAGTCAAAGAGGGCTTCCCAAAGGTGGCACTAGGGTCGCAACCTGAAAATGGGTGTTAGAGACGTACCAGGATTGGGGCAAGCCCTGGGCACTCTCTCCTTCATCTCCAACCCTCAGGGGAGAAGTAAGGGGCATGGCTCCCAGATACCCAGACTCACTGGTTCTTGTCCATCCCTTTTTTGAGGCCCTGACACCAGGCAATGGGAAAACAGACAACCATGAACTCCAGTTCTCAAGACCAATGACCTGGTCTGCCATCCTGGCTTGACTTTCTGGGGGGGTCCCCAGGCCTCAGCTTCCAGAGCTATAAAATGGGAGGACAGAGTGGACAAAGCCTGGCCTGAAGCACACCCTCGTCATCAGTGGCCCTGAGGACCATCTGGTAGGTTTGCTAGCATCCACCTCATCAGGCTGGGGCATCACTTGCCTTCCCTGCCAAGCTCAGGTTAGGAACCACATATCACACTGTCACCAAGGCAGATGAGTGCCCATGACCTGGGGCCACAGCTGGGCCTACAGTTCCCTACTCCAGCTGTTCACGAAACCCACCAGGCTGTTTCACCCTGCTGGCTGCTGGCTGCAAAGACCTCCACCCCTGCTCACATGGAGATTCCTACTTGTCCTTCCTTTAGGACTCAGAGTAAGAGACCCCTTGCCTGTGAGGCACCACAGATGCTCAGTCACATCTGAACACATCTCCCCTCAACGTTTTCTCTGTGCTGATCCCACCCCACCCTGGCCAGGTCTATCTTGGGGCCCCAGTGGAGCTGGATGAAGATAAGCCAATGTCTTGTTGAGTCCATGGTGAAGCAGCCAGTGTCAGATCCAGGACAGCGGAGACTCCGGCCACTACAGCTCCAAACACACACATCAAGAAAACCACTCTGCAGGGGAGGTAACGCAAACCTATAATCCCAGCACTTTGGAGTTCCAGGCCGGCCTGGGCTACCTCGGGAAACCCTGCCTCAAAGGAAAAAAAAGAAAACCACTCTGCTCTTAGCAAACAGCATCCTTCCACTCCATCAAAAGTGCAGGAAGTCATCTGCCCCAGGGGCCTCAGCTGGCCTCTGCCAAGGTCTCCTGGCCGGCTCCCACCCGCCCCATCTGCACACAAAACCAACGCGTCCAGGCGTGGAGGTGCAAAGGGCCAGGTCAAGGCCGCAGGACCCCCAACCGCCGCCGAGCTGGGGAACAAAGGCGCGGCCACACCCCCGCGCCGCCCTGCCCAGGGCAGGCGGTCAGGACCCTTCAGAGGGGAGGGAGGGGTGCCGGGCCCCACGCCCACCCCTGCGGAGGTGCTGGCCACGGACAGGCTCTGCGCCCAGCCTGGAGTCCCCGACCCGCCCGCCGTGCACGCCCGCCTTTGTTCCGGAGGACACGCGCACAGCGCCTGGAGCTCCCGGGGCTTGGGGTCCCGGGTCGTGGTCCTGAGCTTGGGGCCCGGGCCTGGGGACTCGGGGTCCGGGGGCCCAAAGTCAAGGGTAAAGGTCCAGGGACGTGGGGTCGGGGCTCGGTACTCACGGTGTCCACGCGGCCGGCGTGGCCGGCACGGCCGGCTTCCGGGGGACAGCCAGCGCCCGCCTCCCCTGCGCGCAGCGACACGGCCCCGGGCCAGGCGCTCCAGCCGCCGCCTCGTCCCGGACGCCCGCCTCCCGCCGACCCCAGCTCCGCGGCCGGGACCCCGCGCCCGCCATGGCCGCCGCGCCCCAGGCCCAAGCGGCCGCCGGCTCCGCCCCTCGCGGGCGGGGACGAGCAGGTGAGACACCGGGCCCGCCCCTCCACGCGTCACCCTGAGCCGGCCGCCCCCTCCGGCCTCAGTTTCCCCACCCGCTGCCCTGCGCCGAGGACTGGACACTAGTGTCTACAACGGACGGCCCAGAATCAAGAAGCCACTGATGCAACACCTGCGAACCCCGCCTGGAAAGTGAAATGGATCTGGCTCTGGCGCCAACCTGTAGGTCTCATCTGGCCCAGCCCCCTGGGAAAGACTCAGTATATTCCTCTGTAAAATTGCCAGTGTCACTCCATGAGCTAGGAATTCCTCAAGGAGTCAGGGGTCCAGTAATTAGCATCAACCTCCTGTCCATCATCTCCATCACCTTCCAGCCAACACAATTCCATTCCCATCTCTGCTCTGTTCTAAATCTTGTAGTCTTCTTGTATGCACCTAGCCCTTTCCTTGTTTTTGTTTGTTTGTTTGTTTTGTCTTGTTTTTGAAGGGAGAGGAGATTGAGACAGTGTCTCACTATATATCCCAGACTGGCTTCTAACTTGTGATCCTCCTGCCTCAGCTCCCTGAGTGCTGGGGCTACAGGCACGTGCCACCACCTAGCCTTCTTGATTCAGCCCCCCAAACCTTTCTCACAAACTCTCCTGCCTGCCACCTTCTGTGTACCTGTGCCAGCCAGGCTCCACAACCCCAGTTCAGTCCATGCTGCTTCCACTGCCTGCAGTGAACCAGCAGCCCTCAAGCATTGGCTCCAAAGAAACCAATCGTTCACAAATTCTTCCAGAAAATACAAGAGGGAACTTCATTCCAGTATCGCTACCCTGACACCAAAACCAGAAAAGATATCACAAGAAACAAAAATTACAGAACAATGGATAAACCTAAACATTCTCAACAAAATACTAGCAGACTGGATCTTGCCACCTATAGAAAGGATTCTACAGCATGACCCAAGTGGGATTTAGTTTGGCAATTCAAGGTTGGGGCAATAGTCAAAGTCTATTAATAAAGAATAAAAGCCACATGACCCTCTTAATAGATGCAGAAAAAGCATTTGACAAAATTCAACAACACTTCATAAGTGCAACACTCAACAAACTAGGATGAAGGGAACTTTCCAACCCTGACAAAGGGTATCTATGAAAAACCCATAGCTAACATCCTATCTAGTGGTAAAAGACTGCAAGTTTCCTCTGCCCCCCAAGAACAGGAAAAAGGCAAGGATGTCTGCTTTCACACTTCTATTCAACATTGCTCTGGAGGTTCTGGCCAAGGTAAGTAGTCAATTAAAAGAAAACTATCTAGGTTGGAAAGAAAGAAGTAAAACCATTCCCAGATTAGGTGATTTTATGTAGAGAAAATACCGAAGAATTCACTAAAGCCAGGTGCCCGAGGCTCACATCTGTAATTCCAGATACTCAAGAGGCAGAGATCAGGAGGCTTATGATTCGAAGCCAGCCCGGGGAAATAGTTCATGAGACCTTATTTCAAAAAAAACCTTTCACAAAAAAAGGCTGGTGGAGTGGCCCAAGGTGTAGGCCCTGAGTTCAAACCCCAGTACCTCAAAAAAAAAAAAAGAATTCACTAAAAAATTAAGACTAATAAAGTTGAGCAAGGTGGCAGGGGATACAAGATCAACATGCAAAAGTCAACTGCAGCCAGGAACCAGTGATGCACACCTGGCAACCTAGCTTCTCAGGAGGCAGAGATTGGGAGGATTGTGGTTCAAGACCAGCCTGGGCAAAAAAAATGTTCATGAGATCCCCATCTCAACCAGTAAAAAAGCCAGGCGTGGTTATCTGTGCATCTGAAATGTAAATAGTAGCATGCAGGTTCAGGCCAGCAGGGAATTAAGCAGGAGACCCTATTTTGGTTGCAAAAACAGCCAAAGCAAAAATCGTAGGGGCTTAGCTTAAGTGCTAGAGTGCCTGCCTAGCAAGTGAGGCCTTGAGTTCAAACACCACGACATTAAAAAAAATTTTGCAAAAGTTAACTGCATTTCTGTATACATGCAACAAAGAGTCCAAAAAAGAAAGAAGAGTTCAAGTGTTCCTCTTCCAGGCACAACCTCTAGGACTCTATGTCCCTATCTTGGGACTAGCACAGCCTTCCCTCCACCTAACACTGACCATACTAGGTTGTCATTGTCTCCCATACTTAGAGCTCAGGCTCAGCAAGTGTGGGCACTCAGAGGACGGAATGTTGGTCCTGCAGGGAGGCTGGGACTGCAGATTGCCTGAAAGAAAGGTATCACACCCTCCACAAGCTGTAAGGAGATCTGTCCTGTGTGTCTGGAGCAGCTGCGAGGAAAGGCAGAGCCCACTGCTGCCTCCTGAGCTGGATTGTAAACAGGAGGTGAGGCAGGTTGCAGCCTCACCTTATTTCAGCTCAGTGGTCAGCAAGGACAGGCCTGTAAGAAGCTCATTCCCATCTGGCCACCATCCTACTGTGGGCAAGATGGAGGCTCTTATGTGGCCACTGACTGACCTTAGTGGTGGTGGCAGGGGCAGGGGAGGTGTCATGACAGGACAAGTTATACTTCTCCTTTACCTTCCCCTGCGAATATCCTTGCTTCAGAGACAGAGGCTGACACCCCAGTCCCTCTCCACACTATGGGCCATGCAAGAGAAGACCCAGCGTGGCCCTGCCTAGCACCAGTGGGCAAGTCAGGGTGTGACCTGTCCTGGAGCCCAGAGCCAGGATAGGCTTTGAGTGGCACCTGAGGGTGAGAGTGATGCAGGGCCACAGTGATGCACAGCTCTTGGGGAATTTCAGCCCACCTCCTGGACTCTAATTGTGCCTGTGCCTGGGAAGGAGGGATGGCAAACTCCCTTGGCCAGGGCGCTGGACACATGGGGGCCTGTCAGGGAGACTGGAACTGGTGCCTACTGGGCTCCAGGAGCCCTTCCAGAGACACATGGTCACTGTGTGCCTTCTGCATTTGAGCTGGGACTTTTCTGCACACACACTGGAAGGTGTGTCACCCAGGACACTCTCCAGGTCTCTGCTTCTGTGCACACCTTCCCACTTCCTGTCAGGGTTGATACTGATTCAGGTGACCCACGGTTAGAGGCTGTGGGGTGGGGGAGGCAGAGCAAGCAGTGAAACCACTCTGCTGCAGGGACAACCCTGTCCAGTTCTGCTAAAAGCAGGCTCTGTGGCTTCCACCTGACCTGGGACCTGGCACCTGACCTGGGAGCCATGGCTCCACACATCTGGTTAACGTCACAGACGGCACTCACACGGGACATGTGTGTGAGCAACAAGACTTGCATGTGGACACACCGGTGTGTATGCATGTGTATCTATGCACCAGAACGAGATGGGGCCACTGACACCCACAGGCCCAGCCCTAGCTGTGGTGAAGGAGCCAGCGCCTTGAGTGACCACAGTGTTGAGGATTTACTGTTAACTGTGACCAGGCTGCCCTTGCTGTGAAGCTACAGGGCAAGGCAGGGCTAGGAGCCCCAGCTCAAACGCGAGGAGACTACTTATAAACGCACTCATTCTCATATACACCACCTCGTGTGTATACATGCACACTTCCACACGTGTACATACGTGTACTCGTTCACATGTGCACACTCGTGTACACATACACATCAGTGCACATTCACTCAGAGGTGTCCACATTCACTCACGTGCTCATATCTGTAACATTCGCACACATCCTCACGCACACTTGCTCACCCACGTACCTATGCTAACACAAACATTCGTGTACATTCCTATTCCTACATGTACGCATACTCGTCTGCACAATCTTGTACACTCACACTCATACAAGCACATTCACACACACCCTTCATGGTCTAATAGGACCCTTCAGGAGTGGCCCCAACGCTGACCCCGCAGCCGTGCAGAGCCCAGTGCCAAGTTCCACCTGATGGCTAACTGAACCTCACAGGCCTACGTGAGCTCAGTGCTTGGCTAACAGTTTAGGATACTGAGGCTGGGAAAGGCTTTGCACCATACACAGAGGGTCAGGTCCTGCTTTTCAGGGACCACCCCACATCGTCTTCCCAACACCCTGAGGTTCAACCAGAACCTCACTGACGAAGATACGGCCAAAGGCACGTATCCAGTACTCACTGCCCTCTTCCCTGCCCAGCCCACCAGACCCTTCCCCAGTTGGCACAGCAGGTGGTCAGCGATGGTGGTGGTAAGACAGACCTGGCAGGTTCCCCCATCCAGCCCCTCAGTGGCCCTGCCTCACATCAGCTCAAATGCTCTCCCCTTTCAGTTTCCCTTTCCCTCCTTCCTCTTCCCAGAATCTTTCTCTGTAAGAGAATCAAAACCAAAATTCTTTTAGAAAGGCGCAGTGACCAGCCATAGGAGAGAACCCTCAGGTGGACCAGGGCAGCACAACCTGGACTTCACGAAGACAGTCCCCTCTCAGGGATCATCCACTCTGAGCACGGCTCACTGATGCAGGGAGCAGGGATCTCACACAGCTCCCTCTGTCCCCCAGCAGGCCCCAACTCCAAGGCTACCCAGGCAAGGCACCACAGCAAGAAGGGTTCAGTGCCCTGAGCCCCTCCCCAGCAGGCCGGCCCCCACCCATCTCCCTGTGGCTGCAGGCTGAGCGGCACATGAGGGAGTGGGGTATTCTAGCCACCGTTCAGTCTCTCAAACCCTCAGAGCCTGTTGTTTCTCACAGGCCCAGGCCCTAAGCTCCCACTGTCAGCCTGGATGAGAACTGAGGCTCCCACAGACCGCTCCTCCCCCGCCCAGAATCCCCTAATTCTGCAGGTGCTTGGTCATTGTCTTCTCCCACGATCCTGGTTACCCCACTGACCTGATGGCACTGACCCAACACATGGCTCTCCTCCTGCCTGGTGACCTGCTGCAGAGGGTTGACCTGCTGGAGAGAGGCGTCCTGGGGTCCAGGGAGGCCATGCAGCTCACGGGTGGTAGGGAGGGGCCCTGGCCTGCATTTCCCAGGCATGTGGGCCCCAAGGCTCCTGGTTACCCCAAGCGCTGCGTAGCTTGTACCGCAGATCAGTCCTGCTGCATCTGGGGCCTGTGGCCGCCAGGGCTTCCTCCCTGTCTAGGACTTCCTGTTTCAGGCTCTCCAGGCTGCCCCAAGGAGCAGGTACTTCCTGCCTTCCACTCAGCAAGGTCCCAAAAGCTGCCTGGGGCTCCAGCTGCACCTATCAGTGCTACTCAGCCTGTTGGGTCTTGACCCCCACTCACCACTGCCCTTGGCCCACACTGGGGTCATAGACTGACACTCTGGGCTCCAGCGCTACCTATGTCACTAGGGAGGAAACTCTAGTTCCTGCTGCCTCCCCCGTGGTCATCTCTGCATACTTAGCCTTGCACCAGCAAACCACAAAGCCCCTTACAGCCTAGGGCATCAGGCCAGCCTGAAGCCAGCACTGACAACACCCCACACAGCTCAGTCCCTCACCAGCTTTCTCCAGCACAGAAATTGCTGCCTCTGGGACCACACAGAGAGCTGTGCCTCTTGCATCAGGGGCTGTGGGTTTCAAGGCAGCCACCTCAGTGTACTTTGACACTGAGAGACTGAGGGACAGGAACAGAGCCTAGGTCCAGGCATTCCTCAGTCTCCCTCCCCAAAAGTCTTTTTTTTAGCAGTACTTGAGTTTGAACTCAGGGCCTTGTGCTTGCCAGGCAGTTGCTCTGCCACCCCCAAGGCCTATTTGTGTCCCTCCCTACACCAGCTCTTGTTAACACTTGGCTTGCTAGAAAGTACATTATGGCTTCATTAGCAAGGCACACTGCTGTCACTCTCAGTCCTGTCCTGGGCTTCTCTGCACCTCAAGCCCAGCTTCCTTCTCCACCTCAGCCCCCAGCCAGGCAGCTATGGAATAGGGGCTCCAACCTCAGCCATCAGGCACTGATACCTGCCTCTGCCTCTCCTCCCCTGCGCCCCAGGAGGAGAGGACAGGACCCTTGGGAGGAGGCAGCTGGAGAAAGGAGCTTTCTGCAACTCAGACTTGAGGGTGACAGAGGCCAAAGACCACAGGGCCCCCAGAAGCTACAAGTCTTCCTCAGCCAGACCTACTCCCTGCCCCGCCCCACCAAGGGACCCCACACTGGTAAATGCAACAGACATGGAAGTGAGCAGAGGGCGATGTTCCCTCCCAGGTCTCTCCACCTGCCCACCAGATGGCCTGGGGCACATCCCCCACCAGCCCCATGCTCCCACCTCTGCCATGGCTCTGACTTCATCGCCCTGGATACTGACTCCCCTAAGTGACCATGCAGACACCTAGCTGCCTGGATGTTGGGGCACCAAAAAGGGTGGCTTCTGGGCTGAGGGACATCTATCTCCATCGGCAAGGTCTGCGGCCCCAGCCTCACTGACAGACCCCCATGCTGCCCACCAAGGGGTCCATTTGGGCTGCAGACCGCCCTCTGTTTGGGGGTACAGAGCTTCGGCTTTGGTCTCAGGAGCCTCTGTAGGGTAGGCACAGCACCCCTGCACTCCCCCTTCCTGTGCCAGCCTTGACACCCAGGGATGGTCATGGAAATCTAGGTCAACAGCAGACAACTGGCCACAACAGCCAGCCAACTAGACAGACAGCAGTGAGGAGAAGGGTCAGTGGGAGACTTCTTCCTCTTACAGCAGGGTTGAGCTAAAGTAGCAGCCAAGGAGCTCCTGGACCACAGAGCCACCAGGACAATCTGGGGGGCAGTTCCCAGAAGAATTAGAGGCATGATTGGAGCTGTGGGGTCAAGGACCAGGCCCCATGAGTGCTGGGTCAGGGGAAGCCTCCTAGAGGAGGGACCCAGGTCTGATGGAGAAGGAAGAGTTAGCCGGAATGGAGGTAGGGTGAGAGAGTCACAGGCTGGACAGGAACTCAGGGCGAGTTGCATCACAGAGCTGGCAGGAACCCATTAGCAATAAGGCAGGCAGGTGGGGGGAGTCTGAGGATGGAGATGAGAACCACCAGGAGACAACAGGGAGCCAGCCACTCTCTAGGATGTGCCACCCCTTACTGGACAGATGGAAGGACAGCTAAGGCCTGAGCTGGGGGCTACAGTCAGACCTGCTCCTTGCTCCTGCCCCACCAAGAGCCCCATACTTCTAAGTACAGCAGGGGTAGAAGTGAGCAGAGGGCCACACCCAGCCTGGCTCCTGGCCCAAGTCCCAAACCCAGGTCCAGCGCTGTGATGCTGTAAGGATAACAACCCAGATATGGGCTGCTGGAGAGATCCTCATGCAGGACAGACCCATGATGGACCCTCTTCCAACTATGTCCTCTGCAGAGGCTGAGGTCCTAGACTTCTCTGTGACCTCTGCAGGCCCCTCATCTCTGGGCCTGTTTCTCCACGTGCCTTTGCCTTCCCATCTCCTGATGCATCACTTCATCCCTGTAGCACACAACATGTTCCTGAAAACAGAAGAACCCCATAATGGTGACTCAATGACTGTCACCCTGAGCTGGTAACCATGGAGATGACCCCACACCCGCATCCACGCAGGGAGATACATGCGTTGCTACTCTAACTTCCTGCCCCTTGGGCTGTTGCCCAAGTTCCAGGCTGGAGGACCTCCCACCAGGCCAGACACAGGGCACTTACCAGACACAGGGCACTTACCAGGGCTGGTGGGAGCCAGCCAGTGGGGCTGGGCATGGGGCCAACAGTCAGCCTGATGAAGGACAAAGAGCTTTCTTAGGGTTCTTGGGTGCCTCAGTTTGCTCAGAAGTGAGGCAAGTACCCAGCACAGTGGTGCTATCTGCAGCGGGCCACAGGGCCAGGGCTGGCCCTGCCCTGGCACCTCACACCTCACAGCCCCTGCCTCATCTCCGGCTCACAACCCAACAGGCTGGCCCTGCAGGCATCTGCACCCAACCGATGAGGAGACTGAGACTGACGGAGGAACACATTTACTTGGCCCACAGCTAGAGACATCACTTCCCACACCCAGGGCCCTGTGCCCAGTCTGGTGCCTGCCTGCAGAAGCAGCTCAGGTGCTGAGTGGGCTGGGGGGCGGGGGATCATCTTTCAGGCTCAGGGAAGAAGGGTGGGGGCACCCCACTGGGGGAAAGGTCAAGCTCTCAAAGTAAGATGTTTTGATCAGCCAGTCCCACAGCCAGCCTAGAGCCCAGCCACGAGACTCCCCCGACCCTCGCCTTCTATCAGTCTTCGATCCTTGTCTTGGGTGATGCAGGGGGTGTGTCTAAGGGCACAGCCCTGCTCAGAGCCACATGGTACAGGGACTGAATGGTAGCCCCTAAAAGATACAGCCATGTCCTAATCCCTGGAACTCATGGATATGAGCTTATTTGGAAAAGGGGTCTTGTTTACGGTCATACAACCTGAACACACCCAATTTTGTCTGGAAAAGGGGTCTTAGCAGGTGTAGTTAAGGTTTTCATCCTGGATTGGCCAGTGAGCCCTAAATCCAATGACAAACATCTCTAGATGACATAACCTTGGAGTCGACCATGTAGGACAGAAGAGCCTGGAGTGACAGAGCCACAAGCCAAGAGAGCCACGGATGCCACCCAACACCAGAAAGTGCAGCAGACACGTAAGGACCCTCCCTCGAGTCTCCAGAGGAAATGCAGCTTTGCTGACACCTTGGCTTTGGACTTGTGGTGTCCAGACAGCGAGAGCAAACTTCTGCCTTTCCCTGTGTGTGGAGCCCCTCTGTCAGGGCAGCCCCAGGAAATGAGTCCACACTGCCAGGTCCTTTGTGCAGCAGGCTTCCCCTTTAGTCTGACCCCACTTCCTGGCATGCTCCATCAGGAATGGCCTGGTTCTGCAACACCATATCCAGCTGGACAGGGGACCCCTGAGCTGGACTCCCTGATGTCACAGCCCCCGGAGGCCTGGCTCACTGTCTTCTGCCCCTCTTGGGCATTGGGTCACCAGCCCAGCACACCATACCTGGCCCATACCCCCACCTCCGTGCGTCCTGCCCTGGGCCAGTGACCTGGGGCCTGCTGTGCAGGACCATTTCACCCTACTCCTAGTACCACAATCTCCTTTAGTTGAGAAATGAAAGCATCCTCATTCTTTGAGAACAGAATCTTCTAGAACCTTGTCCCCTTCTCTGAAATCTCCACATCAGTGGCACAACCCTCCACCTACACTCCCCATGGGCCTGGGTCACATTGCATCCCCAGGCTATACACAAGGCCACACCTCTGACGTGGCTGTAACCAGCACATCCTTCAGAGCTCAGAAAGCATGACTCAGAGCTAATCTGAGCAACAATGAGAGTCTTTCAAAGAACTGATGTCTGGTGTGACTATAGCCAAGGCCCATCCCTGCTGCAGGACCACTGCTGGGCAAGACAAGCCACCAGACAGCACTGGGCCAGTGTGCCAGTCTACCCACTGAGAAACGGAGAAAAGCCAAAACATAAGAGTCAGCCAGCGTCCCCAAAAGACGCAGTGTGTTGGGGATCACAGGGCCACCTAGGTGAAGGAAGGAGGCCGTTTAGTTGCTCCTGTGTCCAAGGGCAAATGGAATTAAGAGAAGTACAGACAGAGGTCTGGTGCACATGACTGTCCACATGGTGTCTGGGCATCCAAGGGCAGGGCCCAACCTGGGGCAGGGGTGGGTTTTATGCTCTGGGAAACTGTCCCCAAAGGTAATTCACAATGTTCACACATCCCTGGATGCCCCAGCAGTGCCTTCCTTTCCCAGGCCCAGTGTCTCTGTCCCTAGCAAGTGTGCCCAGGCTGGGCTATGGCATGTCTTCAAGCCGAGGGCCTGCTGAGCACGAGATCTGGGAATCCTGGAGCCCTCCACACTCAGTGCAGAGCCCTGGCATGGCCAGGAAGGGGCAGCACATTGGTTGTGGGCAGCATGGTAGGGTCTGGGTTCCAGGCTGGTGGTCAGTATGGTGAGGGTGGGTGGGGCTGGGGACAGAGAGGAAAGCCACATCTCAGGGCAGCACAGGTTGGCGTGCTGCCTGCCTGCCTGCCTGCCTGGGCCACTCTCCTGCCTCAAGCCACAAGCCAGCAGAGGCGTTTCAGGATTCACACTTCAGTTCATCACAAACACCGACAAGTTTCCACCTTTTAATTGCTTGAGAAAGAATTCTCCAGAGTGCTGACTGTGGGCCAGCTCCACCCCCGAGTTCCTGGCTCCTCGCCCACAGTTGCACAGTTGCTGCCTAAACAAAGGGGCTCGCCGCCCCCCCCCCGCCCCCCGCCCCAGCCAGCCCTAGGCTCTGAGATTGGCAGTTGGTCCTGCCTGACCCATGGCTCCCCTGCAAGAGGACCCTGGTGGGCAGGATGTTACAGTGGCTAGAGAACAGGCTTCACTGGGGACAGGCCTGGCTCCTTTTAGACTTGTGGCCCACTTTGAGCTTCAGGTTCCTCATCTGAGGAGTGGAGCCAACAGCTTACGTGTGGACCACCTGCCATGGCAGTAGGATGGCTTACTCTGGAGGCCCCTGGGCACTGGGCTTCCACTGGTAGCACTGTCAACAGTCTTGTTAGGAAGGGAGGCAATGCTAAAGGCATGTTCTCAAAACACCCTCTCTCAACGTCTTCTCCTCATGCCCCTCTTGTCAGTCTGGCCAGCAGACAGTCCTCTCCCGCCACAGGAGGTGCCACCCTGAGCCACATACCCAGTGTTGGAATTCCACAGAACATACCACACTCCTTTCCATCTCTGTCCCTTTGCCCAGCAGTGCCCTCCACCAGAGTGCCACCCTCCTGAGTCCCACTGCCGCCTCTGAAGTCCCCTGTCCTGACCACTCTCCCACTGCCAGGACCCCACACAGTTCCTCACAAAGTCACCCCAGTCCCCCTCCCCACCCCCACTGGCTACTGCCCCTCCCCCAGTGTCAGCACTTGAGGACAGGGACCTCTGTGAGTCTGTGCACTGAGAGACCCCACACAGTAGCAGATATGACACAGGCACCAGGTCCATCCTACAGCATGGGCAGGCCTCCTGCACACCCTGACAGCTGGTGCCCTGCTCCCCACAGCTCTCAGCTCACAGGGCTCACTTGCCAACTGAAACCCTTCACCTCACCCCGAGTACACCCACTTCTTTACCTCACAGGGACCTTGTCTGCCTGTGGGAGGCCCCTGCAGGGTTCTGCAGCCACAGAACAGGCATTGGGCTTCCCTGGGGTGACCGCTCCTGTTTGCAGTGTCTACATAGACAAAGCAAGGTGACACTAGGCTGGGACAGTGCACCCTTACACCCAAGCCTGAGCTTGCTGCCATTACCTTCAGGGACAAAAGGGATGTGGCTGGGTGCAAAATTTGTCAGGCACCTTTGTCAGGAAGCCTGGAAGAAGCCCGAAGTCTCCTCCCAAGTCAAGGTCAAGCTGACGCCCGCTGCACAAGGAAGCGCAGAGGATGGAACTTCCCCAATCCAGCCTGCTCCTTCTCTCCCATCCCAGCAGCTGAGGGAGCAGACACAGCCACCAACCAGACCCTCCTGGGACACCTGCCTCACAGGCACTTGCTGAGGCAGACCCCCACTTGCAGAGGCCAAGGCTCAGGGGTCACAAAGCTGGGGGATGTCTTCCTGCCCACAGTCACTTCTGGGACAAGAGAACCAGCTCCTGGGATCCCCTTCATGTCCTAAGGGTGCTAGCTCTGTGGCTCCCTAGGTTGCCAGCTGTCAAAGTGGGCATGCTGCTCTCCTGATGAGGACATTGAGGCTGGCCTGAAAGCCACATGGCCCCAGCCAGGCACACCAGACATTTCTTGCCAAGTCTGGCTCTGAGCGGTCAAGAAGAAGGAGCAACCCCAGAGCTGCCCTTGGAAGGACACTGGATCCCACCTGGGCAGAAAACCCACAAGTCCGTGAGGACAACAGCG